ATGGCTGATTGTTGGAGTAATGCTCATATGGAGCTGTATATTACCATGCAACATATAATAAAATATAAATTTCAAAATTACATCTATTAATAAATTAATGTTATATTAATAATTTGTTGATTCAAATAAAAGAGACTTGATCCTTTTTAAATAAGATTTTAAATTCAAATTTTTTGAATGAAAAAATAAATATTAAGAGAATATTTTTTATAAAATTCAACGCAACTTAATTTTAAATTAGTTTCAATCTAATATAATTTCTGAATACTGATGTATTAGTACAAAATAAAAGAAATAAATGAGTGTTATTATTTAAATTAAATTTAAGTTTCAAATATTAAAATTAATATTAAAATATTAATTTTTTAAATATATTAAATTAATATAGAGACATGCCATTAAAATTGCTCATAGAGGGAATACCTTGACTGTGACAACAAATAATAAAAAACACTATTGTCAATTTGGAATTGATGCATCATTATAAAATTAATATCTAAGAAAATTAATTTTTTTAAAATTTAACTTAATGTAGAGATATTATTAAAATTGCCGATAGAGAAAATACCTTGACAGTGACTAAAAATTATAAGAAACTGTATTGTCAATTTGGAATTGATGTACCATTATAAAATGAATGTTGTAAATATTTTATATAGATGTTTCTAGAATCAATTTGATGGACCGAGGCACCTAACCATTTTTAAAACTAAAATTGTATGATTAACAATGATTGGGGATTACAGTTCTCTTTTTGGCCAGTGCGATTACGACTTGATGAGAAAATTCCAACTCATGTCTAAGAAAAAGGGGGAAAAAAATGGTAGAAACACCATTAGAGACTTGCATTTTTAAGAACGTTGTTGCCATCTTAAAAAGTCCATATTCAAAGCCTGAAAATTAGAAAGCGATAATTATGTGCAAGTTTGGAGCCTATAATTAGGGACCTGGAAATTTGTCTTTATACAATGGTCCATGGATCTAGCAAAGGACATACCATATTGAGTAATTTATCGAACACCGAAAAGTTTGAAACCATTTCTTCAGGGAAATGGCATGGCAGGACCATTCTTGAAGTTCCCGTGAAGGTCTAGTTGAGATGGAGATCTGTGAAATTTGATTAAGCAGAGGCATTTTTGTATATGTTTTCCCAGAACCCAGATATAGAAACGTTTGTTTAATTCACAGAACCAAAGTTCCTTAATCATAATTCATTTTTAAATTTATGAGATTTCGTATAAATAAGTATCTAAATTTTCAAAATTTTACTGATTAAAAATATATTTTTTTATTAATTAACACTACCATCTTTTAAACATGTCTAATTAAAGGAAAAATGAAAAATCATGATGTCCTGATATTAAAAATACGAGAACATCTAATAATAGTCACATGATAAATTTGATAAAATACAACTCATACTATATTTTACACATTTAATGGTTGTAATTAGATATCTTGATATTTTTAATACTAGAATATCCTGATTTTCCTTTTTCTCTTAATTAAAAATACAATTTTTATGATTTTACCAAAAGTCATAAAAATCATACCAAAAGTCATAAAAATCATACCCTTAACAATAAAATTTTGAAAAGCTGTGTTTTTATCAGTATAAATTCTCTTGGACTTATTCATGTTTGAAGAGGAAATTTTCGAGCCTTCTGAGTCAATTAATCTAGAGACTAAGAGTAGAGGCGGTTTGCATTTATGTGTAGGATTAATTGATCTTAGGATATTTATGTTATCTAAAAAACAAGTGGGAACTAGTCTAGAAGAAAGTTAAAACTAACACGTCGTCTTTTAATGAGCCTCCATAATGCTTGGACTTAGTTGAACTCCATCCTTTCGATGGTCAAAAAACCCGGTTGCTGAAGTTTCAAAACTCGAAAGGTTAACTAGTTAAGATAAACTAACATAAAAGTTCACAAAGACTTGTTCTAGCTTTCTGTCTACTCAGTCTAGTCTAAAGAAGTGGGAGAGTACAAATGCAACTTAGCACCCTTTTAAGAACTAGTTCTACTCCTGCAATTATATTTTGTTATTTGCTAATGGGAGGAGGCAGGATCAGTCCAGTCCTCCTCACATTCATTTACATTGTGTTGGAGATTATGCTATAGATAATACTCCACAAGCATTGTAGCTGAGCATCTCAATATCATGGCTCTTGTTCTATGGAGGAACAAAGAAGGAAAGGGAAGAAGGGAGTGAGTCTTTTGAAATAACTACAGAAGAGATATTGAAAAGAAATGTGGTTTCATACATATACTGCATTTGATATGTGTAAAATTAACGGCAAGCACTACCACTTCAAGTAAACAAGTTAAATCACTGTACTCAAAAGTAAGAAGGATGGCGGAGGAACCTTTTGTTGGAGAAAACTTGTGTTACTGTAATAACATCTTTGCTTCGGCAGTTAACATGTGCACTCATTAGCAGATAATTATCTTTTGAATAACTTAGACCACAGGTAAACCATACTGAAACAAAACAGTCCAAATATGATCACTTGCAAGACATGATTCGATTTTTGCTGGATGACATTTTTGTTCAACCTCCTCATGCCATTTTTTACTCCTGTTTGAGCTCGGCTCATTAGCGTTTGCTGTTTCAAGAACCAGAAGCAGCAACTTGTTAAATACAAGCTGTCCTAGCATTACTTGACGCTGATAAGGATGACACATGGGCCACCAGAACATCCTTGCTTTACAAGAAAGATAATTGATGGGCACATAAATAGCACTGAAATCCCAGTGCTGTAAAAGAAACCAATGCTGATAAAGAACAGAAAAGATTCTTGTATGGAAAAGATCAACAACAACATTGGTAGTCTCATTAAGGTTTTGACAAATTCCAAGCTGCTCTAAATATATCAAAACTGGAATTTACCAAATTCTTCCATCAGGTAAAGGATTTATAAAAGAGGAGAAATCAAGCAAGATATTTACCAAATCAGACACTAAATCATTCTGAACCCGTGCTTCTGTTTCAATCTCTTGAGCCACCTGTAAACTAACACTCCAGGTAAGAAAGCATGGAACAGGAACAGAGGACTAAAGGAATAAAAAAAGTCACATGAAATGCAAACTGCAGTTAATTTTCAATCCAGAATTCCAGACTGAAAACAGCCAAAACAGAAGCCTTGTTGATGACAATCATTACTTGGCCTCCCCAACAAACAGCCAACTAATTGAATAAGCCATAAGGCTAGCAGTTTTTTTAGCAAATTCAGTATGTTATCTAAGAACAAAAGATGCCTCTTTACTTTCCCAACCCCAGACCAAAGAGAACACTTGCTCAACACTAGTACTAGCAATTTTCATTGCATACAGCTGCCAACTCCTTAAACATTCATTGCATTGTCAAAATCTAGTGCAGTACAGTCATATTTCCAATAACTATTGGGATCAAGATTTTGAAACAAGATTCAATTACTACATTCAAGTGAGTCAAATGGCACCTACCACAAGTTTCATTACAACCCAAGGGTAATGATGTTATAATCAAATACCAATTACAAGCATACATGCTCTATATTGGAAGATATTAGAAGCAATCTTTTTCTCAATTCATTTTCAGTGTCATTTTATCCAATTGTCTTCTGTTAGCCGATAAAACCCTTATAAATTTAACAAAATAAAATCATAAATCATCTTTGACTTAAGCAACCAATCTCATAGAGGTAACAGGAAGAATGTTGTGCTTGTGCCTGGCCCCAAAATGATTCTAGTACAGAGGACGGTAAGAAGCAACTTGAAGACAAGTGATAGGATGGAAACAGGGCATATAGAAGAATGTGTGAACTAGAATTACCAGAGATACTCATGAGACACTTCAATGTTTTAGTTGGTGGAGAGTGGAGAGACTACATGAACAATACATGACATAAAGAATGCCAAGGAGTTACAAGAGTGAAGTTGTTTGCAGGGCGAAGTGCACCCTTAGGACATAGGGAAAAGAAAACTTCAACAACAAGTTAGACGAGGTCCACCTTGTTGGAAACTATGATAAAGTCAAATCCTTTACCAGGTTAATTGCCAAGAAACTAAGCATTGATCAAGGACATTTTGGTGAGAATGCAACACAGAACCTAAGGTCCTGACAGACTTATATCTATTGGTTAGGTATCATTTGACAAACCTTCAAAGAAACCTGTGCTTAAATGATAATAAGAAATTGAAAAATTCCCAAATGTTTTCAAGCATCTGTGTGTTGAACAAATGATTAAATAATCAGCATCATATAATTTGCTAAGCCTTTTTTTTTCCCTGGACAGCATGCAACTAATACCTGACATGATCATTTTGGCCCCTAAATTTTACAGTGCAACTACCAAAAAATTTTAAAAAAATCATTCTTACATTTTTCACACAAATTTAATAGAAGAATTGACCTATTACTAACTTCCTGCATCCTAAATTGAGAAATTGTACAAACGAAAACCCAGTAGAGAATATTCACAACCAATTATATAAACAAACTAAAAATCCATAAAGCCAGAGACGAATACCATATTGAAAAAAATAATCTTTATCAAGCTTAAAAGCAAACAAAAACCCAGAAAGAAATCCAATTTGCAAAATAGCAAATATGAGCATACGTTTTTGAGCTCTGTAACTTGTCTGTGAAGACCCGAAATTTCTTCGTCCAAGTCTGAATGCACAGGATCGATCCTCAATTGGATCTCATCAGAGTTACCCACTGGTCTAGCGCTAAGACCCTGCCTGTGTATCCCCACAAAAAAAAAAGAAGAGATGAAGATGCCAATAGCTCGCAAAAGTAATAGAAATGAACAAAGGGAATTTAGGGATTGATTTTGGGTACTTTGATCTGTAAGGATTTGCCATAGAAGAGAATTTCGCGAAAACCCTAATTGAGGCGCGTAAAAGAACTGCAACAGAAAGCTCTCCTACTCAGATTTGGGATTGGGTTATCTAAGTAACGGTCACTCTCACGAAAACGGAGGGATTTTCTTTTCTTTCTTTTTTTTAAAGAAAATTTTAGTTAAAATATCACTTGAAATTGTAAATTTAAAATCATAATATATTATTAAATAAATATAATATATTTATGCTATTAAATTAACAAACATATATAATATCATATGTTTATGAGTGGAAAAAATTAATTATATAATGATATATTATATTATAAATTTACAATATTACATAATTTTATAATTATATCATCTTTTTAATATAAAAATCATCAATAATACAAGTTTTTTTATTTTGAAATTTGATGTACTCTGAATTATAAAATAGATCTATTTATAAGAACTTAGATAAGGAATAACCTTTGATATTAAAAGGTGTTCTCCTATCCAATACTAATAACATGTTTGGTTTGGGAGTACAGAGAAAGGGACTTCTTAACTAATCAAATTATAATATTTTTAAATAATAAAATTTTTGTTTTATGTTTAAAAATTTAGGGTGCATAACTCCCATGTTCCAAACTTTTAAGGTCAGGGTTTTGGGGACAACGGACATTCTCTTTGATTGAGGAGGCCCCTCCTTTCTCTCTTGCATACAAATGTTACTATTGTCATCTTGCTCCAATAACTTGTAACCTTAGGTCTTGGCAATGATTAAAAACTAAATTCTATCCCTTGCTTGTGTTGTGTCATTTGTCATAGGTCTAGTTTCAATGGCTACATGTATTGTCCTATCTTGTGTTGTTGTGGGCCTCTATCCGATTTAATAAGAATGGCAGATGAAGAACCTGGCTCCATGCTCAGCTATGTTTGTCTCACAAAGGATGAGGGTGGCATCCTCCCCTTGCATACTATCTGGAAACAAGAAGATTCAAATATAGAGAAACTGTGTTTAGTGGGGAAGCTCCTTTCTTAAAGAAAGATCAATCTAAACAGTCTCCACAATGCTTTAATAATCTCGTAAAACCTTAAGAAGGCTTTTAATATTTTTGAGATCGGGAGAAGACTTATCTATTTCAATTCTCTGATATTAGAGATCTCAACGAAGCCTTACAAAGATGTCCTTGAAATTTTAGCAACTCACTGTTTATTCTCAAATGATTTCAAGCATCTTTAATCGTAAAACAATATAATTTTTCTACAAATTTATTATAGGTTAGAATCTTTGATGTTCCTGTTAGTATGTAATCTAACCAAATTGGATACATGATAAGGAGTTCCTTGGGGAAGGTTTTGGAGGTGGATGAAAGTTTCCATAAGGCTATCAAAATTAGAATTGATTTGGAGGTGGATAAGTCATTAAGAAGATTTAAAACTTCTCGAATTTGTACTACAAAAAGTAAGAAACTTAGGATTAAATATGAAACACTTTTGGAATTCTATTTTGTTTGTGGATGCTTAGGTCATTTTGAGAATGATTGTGAAGTTGCAAACCACAAAGAAGATGCAGGGGGCAACATTGTTTGTCTATGCAATTCTGAGTTAAAAGTTGAATTGGAAAACTCAGGGTGCTTTGATGATTTTGATATTTTGGGTGAAACTTTCTCTACAAATACTTAATTTCTAGTTGGAGATAAGACTGAAGAGAATAAGGAGCATCATGCGTTTGTTCCTAATGAAGCAAGTCAAATAGGGGGGAGCAAAGATGTTGCCACTGGAGATCTATAGGTTGATAATTTCATACCCATCAATGCAAGCCAAATGGAAAGGAACAAAGTTGCTGCTATGACTATGGGTGAGACTGCAGTAGAAACGGACCAACCTCTTACCGAGAAAGTGAATAAAGATGCTGTTTTGTTGGCTTTGATGGATACAGGGTTGGTGAAGGTGCCTTTATCCCTTGAGTTTAGTGATGTTAAAAGGTCAACAAAATAAGGGAAAGTTGCAAAAGGAGGCAAGGATAAACAAAAAATAATAGGACATGAGATGGGACCCTTGCTACATAAGGACAAAACCAATCAAGGAAAAAGAAAGAGCTATACAATAATTTTGGAAGAACAAAGAGCTTGCAAGGTGATTCTAAACAACACAAGGGTAGTTATGTGGTTCTTGACGAGCTTGGTGATGTCAAGGCCTTTAAGGTAAGACTTAATGGTTTGGCACTACTCTTGTTATATAGACGGACACCTTTGATCTGTCTGTTGGTTAGAAAATCAATTGTGGATGGACAGAGTATTATAATGTTAAGAGACACTAGATCGCCAAGTCCACTAACTTTTTATACTAGGTTTGGATGGTAAAATAGATGTAATTGTTAGTAGTGATAGTAAGCTATATAGTTATCTTTTTATGTTATTACATAACTCTATTAATACCTCTATAAAGTATACTAATATTTAGAAGTTTTTAGTTCTTAATTTTCCTATTTATATAAAACACTCAACCCTATATGTTAACAACAGGGGTTCTTCCTATTTTAATTATATTTATTATACAACTTATGTGGTAATGTATAATTTGTATTGTAATTATTTTTCAATTATTAATACAATTATACTTTTTATAAAAAAAATTAGGATGCTATTTATATATTTCTTAAAACTGTAAGATGCTAATTAAAATTTTTTTCAAAAGATCATAGCCCTTCCCTAGTCTACTTGCGGCTCCGCCACTGCCATAAAATTATAAAAATCACACTCTCCTGGTTTTCCTCCCAACAAACTTTGTCAGTGCTTGCAAAAGAAAAAGTCAATGGAAATGCAAGGCCAGAAAAAACCCAGAATCCTCTGTCTCCATGGTTTCAGGACAAGCGCTGAAATCCTCAAGAATCAAGTCCATAAGTGGCCGGAAACCGTGCTTGAAAAGCTCGATCTTGTCTTCCTCGATGCGCCTTTTCCAGCTCAAGGAAAGTCCGCCGTGGAAGAGATTTACGATCCTCCTTATTATGAATGGTTCCAAGCCAATGAGGTTTTCCATTCTTTAATTCCCCCCCCCCCCTCATTTTTTCTCCCCATAACCCATTTCAGTTTCTTGCTTAACAACAGTGCTTGTGATTTTTTTTTTCCTTTGATTTTGTAGGATTTTACTGAGTTTACAAATTTTGAAGAATGTGTTGAATACATTGAAGAGTATATGATAAAAAATGGACCCTTTGATGGTCTCCTGGGTTTTTCCCAGGTAGGAGATGCCTGAATTACAAGATTATTATTATTTTGACTACTTTTATCGGTAACATTTGTTAAAAATTAATCATGTGTGCTTAAGTTGATCTGAATATACCTGACTGTTAAAAAAATGAGTAGGTGCATAATGATTCCCGGGTTCTGCTTAGTGAAAATAGTCAATCAAAATTATTATCACCAGATGTTATCAAAGACAGATTATTTTTCATTTTTCCTTCCCCAAATTCATCTTTTTGTGAGAACAAATTCAAGTTTGGGATGAATTTCAGGGAGCCATTCTGTCGGCTGCAGCACCAGGGATGCAGGAAACTGGGGCGGCTCTTACCAAGGTTCCAAAAATAAAGTTTCTGATAATCATATCGGGTGCAAAGTTCGGAGGGAAAAAGTTTGGAACGCCTAAGCTGGCTACTGAAGCATTTTCATCATCAGTGAAGTGCCCCTCCCTCCATTTCATAGGTACAGTACTTTCCTAGGTCTTAGTTCTATATCTATACTAAAGGCTAAACTAAAATCTTGAAAAGTTTTACTAAGTTCGAAACATGTTATTTTAAGTAGTTTTTTCTGATATATCTAAGGATGGCCTACACAAGATGTGATAACCTTTCCATTCTTCATTAAGATTTGAATATGAGATTTTTAATTAGAATTTGAAGTCTCTAACTTTTAACTACATAATACACCTAGAAAATGAAGTTATGATACACTTTTTGCATACAAAAAAGCAAGAATCGTTATCATGTATGTATTTAATACCATACACCTTGGTAAATATTGTGAGATTTCGTTTCGTTTCTAATCAATCACAACATGAATTTTGTAGGTGAAATGGATCTTTTGAGGGAAGAGGGTGTGGCTCTTCTAGATTCATTTGTGGATCCTGTTGTGATCAATCATCCCGTGGGACACAGCATTCCTAAATTAGGTTTGTCATTTTTTATTTTTGAGAGACCTTGGTTGTTAGCAGTTTCATTCTTTTTTATCTGTCTATTTTAAATTTTATGCGCATAACTTTAGTTAATATTTTTATATCAACATATAAATGATAATTAAATTTTTTTTATCAAAAATTACTTAATAAGAACTCTGTATTAAAAAATTTTCAATTGTCATATATATAATATATAAAATATTATCTAAAATTATCTACTTAGAAATATTTAACACATTCTAAGTCCTGAGAATATAGAGCTGTGTTCAAGAAGTGCTGGAATCCCCTGATACCTAAAAAGGTAGCGCTTTTATGTGGCAATTCATCCCTAATAGAGTTCCAACAAAAGATAATTTGCTAGCAGAAGGAATTTTATATAATTAAGCTGATCCATTGTGTGGACTCTGTGAAGAGCATATTGAAAGTGTTGACCATATGTTGTTAAACTGCCCAGTAGCTCAAAATTTATGGATAATATGTTTTCTTTGGTGGGGAATCTCCTATGTTATGCACTCTGGTCAAGGAAGAGCTTTCCTGCAGCATTCTTGGTGTGGTGTTAAAAAGGACGACTAATGTAGGGTGGGAAGTGGTATGGTTTGCGTGTATTTGGACTTTGTGGTTATGCAGAAATGAAAGGATTTTTAAGGGAACTGTTGTGGATGTGGAGAGAATGTTGGGACTAGTACAAGCAAGATATTTCCACTGGGTTAAAGCAAAATCAGGGGGAGTCCATTTTACCATATCAGACAGGACATCTAACCCTAGGGCATGTGCAAAATTGATCTAGAAAAACAGGGGTAGGTAATTGTTGAGGAAATGACATCCCTGTATGTTTGTGTGCAGGGACATGGTATGCTTAGTGTAAGTATGCTGTACGATGGCATCCTGCAGGATTAAGCGAGTGAGTTAGCAATAGTGCGGGGATTTAATATTAAGATAATTATATTTGTAAGGGTAGGATTGTAGGAGTACTCTGTATACTCCAGGAATCAAATTTGTTGTTAAAAAGAAATACTTTGGATTGTTTTAGTTCTTTCAATCTCTCTAACTTTATATAAATTAAATTGATGATTTTATATATAGTAAATGAATAATAATTAAAAAAAATTTAATCTAAGTTAAAATATTCAACAAAAGCTATGTATAGAAAAAAAATTTCTTTCAATAGTTATTTATTTGATCTAAAAAATTATCTTGTCAAAATTTATGCAAAAGTCAAATTAAGAAAACTAAATTAGATTAGAGGGAGTATTATCTAAAGTTATGTCCAAATTTAATTATGTGTAAACATATAAATTGGAGGAGAAAGTAATTCCTAGGCAGGTGAATCACATGCCCAATTATCTTTCATTTACTTTAGCTACTTTGGTACTTGAATTGAATGATTGAATGGCTTCAACATTTAAAATGTGATAGATGAGAAAAGCATGGAGGTAGTGCTGAGCTTCATTGAGATGATCCAGAAGATGCCATCAGAGGAGCAACAGTAATGAAGAAGTCTTGAAGGCAATTTAATTCATTGCCCGTAGCGAGTAATGGTTATGGAGGATTGTGATGATTTTTCTGCCTGCTCAAATCGTAGATTAATACCATATGTTTAAGTTTCATGCTTGTAATAAAATCTACAAAATATTTTCTCATGTTGTATCTCCGGAACATTATAAACTTTCTCCAAAACGTGACGTCAATGAATCCAAGGCAATATTTTTGAAATTATGAATGTTGCTCTCGAGGTCTTTAAATTAAGAGAAATGTTTTTTTTTTGGTTAAATGCTTAATTTAGTCCCTCAACTTTAAGAAAATGCACATTTTTGATCCCTCAACAATTTTTTGCATTTTTTTTATCCCTCGACTCTAAAAATTGCACAGTTTTGGTTCCTCCGTCAGTTAAGTATGATGTGGCAGTTAAATAATTTTATGTGGCATTATCTTTTAATTTATTTGATGATGTGGCAATAATATAGATTTTAATAATATTATATAAATAAATTTTTCACCTATACTAGAACTGTCTCTAACATTGAGATTGTTATTTTGGGTTGAAATAATTACTACTACCTCTAATTTATTTTACTTTTCATTACATGTATTTTTAAGTGATACTTTTGAATGGTAATTGGCACACACCCCAAACTATCACTTTTCATTACACACTAATAAAATTATTATCCCAATTTTAAATTATACTTAAAATAGCTTGAACCTACTGTTAATCATAAAATTGAACACTCATTTATCTCTGTTTCCAAGCGTATTAATTGGAGTAGTTGAAAGTTTCAAAGTCCAAATTTTGTTTTGCTTAGCTTCTGCCTCTTCTTCCACTCCACTTTAGTTGTACAGTAAGATGTTTGTAACCATTTAAGCTTGGGTGGGAGAGAGGGATAAGCAATTCCCCCTTATTCTAGCAATGGAACAAGCAATTGCAAATCTAACGGCTGAATTGTTTAACATTTGTCTACAGTTATAGTGTCAAATCTCACTTTGCAAGTTGCTTATTCTAGCAATGGAACGATCACTTGCAAATTCGGGGGCTGAAGTGTTTAAGATTTGTCTATAGGTGGTCAGGTACATTGTCAAATCTCACTCCGCGGCAAGCTATCAAAGTGCTAGGTTTGTCAGGTGAGAACTCTTTGAAATATCTTGTGTTGAGAGATCGTCGCGATAGGACATACCAGACACTATCTCCTTTGGTAGCAAAGAGTTGCAGATAAGGCAATTCTATCGTAGTGATTTTCTGAATTTGAATAGAATCTAGAGAAATTTTAACAATTGCATTTAATTGCATTTACCACGATTACCATAGACAAGTGAGGGATAAGTATTTATTAGGAAAAAATTATATTTTAATATTTAAATCAGAGTGTGTAATATAATGTGTTGGTTTGATTTTAATATTTCTTAATATACCTTTTTATAATATATAGATGACAATTTAAAATTTTTTCTAATATGTAATTTGACAATGTAACCAAAATTCTTTAACAACCATATGCTCCAAAATTCATTAATTCTATCTGTCACGTATCAGTTCCTAGCTTTCACTACTTCACAGCAGCATCACTTCCTTCCTTGCTGAGAGTGCAACCATAACATTCTTCAAGATTGCTTCGGTTGCCTGGTTGTAGTTCCCCACAGCCTTTTGAAATTGCTTGCCAATTCTCACTATGCTTTGGTTTTGCAGCAACATATCCTTCGGTTCTTCTCATAACTCCCATGTTCGAGTTCAAATTTGTAGTACATTGCCCAATTATCACCAATATCAGGAGCCACTGTCATTGCTCTATAGAACCATGATCTATCCTTGTCCACATACACTTCCATCCTGCCAGAAAAGCTTGGCCTTGGTGGCAACGACGTGGCCATCCCGTTCACAATTCTTGCAAGCATCTAAAATTATGCCTTCACGTTGAGACCGGGGAGCCATCTCAATTGCTGCTGCCCACAACACACCACTATTTGGACATTCCCGTAGGCCATCCAGATATCAGCTTCCTTCTTGTAGCCATGCCTTAACTCAGCGTGAACAGTTGCAAGCCAGAGTTCAGGCTGATGTGGATTCTTCTCCCTTGCCCGTGTGAGAATAGCACGAGCTTCGGCTATTCTTTTCATTTTCTCTTCAAGATTGGCAAGAGAAAGCCAAAGAGGTACACAATCAGGACAATGCTTCAAACCTGATTCATAAAGTTCCTTAGCATTTTCCAATTCACCAAACCGTTACTCCAGTTGCCCAAGCATCAACCACATTTTAAAGAAGGAAGGGAATTCTTTCAACCCATCTTCCAGTATCTTCCTTTCCTCTTCAGAGTTCCCCCTCTCTCTCTCTCTCAAAAATAGCACGCTTCATCCACCCTCTCCCTCTTTGTTCTCTACGTAACGTCTCTCGAAACTTAGCAAAAAGTATGAGAGTTTCAGGCTCAATTTCGAGCTTAGATGGCGCACACCATTTCTCCACAGGGTTGGTATATTGCAAGTTCAGATTTCAGGCAAACAGAACGAGCTGCATACAAATCCCCTATAGAGCCATATGCAAAATGATTTTGGGACAACTTTTTTATATTATTTTTTGAAATAATTTGATATGTCATTTAAATAATTGATTTTTTTTATTTATATAGGATCTATAATATTAAATGTTCATTCATTTAATGGTATGTAAAAATTATATAAAAAAAATTATTCCTATAGCACCACATTAGAGCCACCTATAATCCTCGTATATAAGTGAAGGAACCTCATCCAATGGCCTATGTGTTATGATATCTATAGAGATGCTCATAAATGCACTGAAAAGCAAAATGCAATTTCTTGCTTTAAGAGCAATTACTTCACTCAATTTTCTACTGCCTCAATACGCCATCTCTGCTGCATGCTCAATGGTCTACTACTCCATTAATGCAGCAAGTTCAAGCAGCCATTTCATCAAGTGCCTTCACACCAAAACCGACTCCTTTATTTTGTATATATATATATATATATATGCACTTATAGAATTGAAATACAAGTTGAAGAAATACAATCAACTTCTTTTATTCTTCATTAAAATTAACACTATGAATCAATGCTTTAGACAGAAGAGCATCAAGGGACTTCTAAGTCCCATGACTCTTTTCAAGTTGAGCTGCTTCGGACCAAAAAATCTTCTATGTGGGGAACATCTTAAGAGCTTGAGCATAAATAGCTCTGGCAGTCTCAATAGAGCCATTCTTCTTACATTCCTCAGCATCGGCAACCCAGTTTCTCTTCCCATCTTCTCCCTCCACTTCAACACCAATAATATTTTGAAGAATTATCTTACAAGTTGCCATAAACCCTGCTCTCTCAGCAGCCTCAGCCTCCTTCATCCAAGCTTCCCTGTCAATCACCAATCCTTCTGTCTGCAAGTTCCTCATACCCACCTCAATAGTCCTTCCCGAGATAGCAGCATTACTATTTCCATTTGCTTCCTCCAACTTGGCTTCAAGTAATCCAAAAAGCAGGCTCCTTAGGCAACTTCTTCTTAGCCTTCTTCAGAACCTTCCTTGCCATGTCATGTGTCTCCAGGATTGCAAGTCTCAACCACAAGTCCACATCCAAAGGAAAGTAGTACGCCCCCAATATAAAGCAGCAACCTTTGCATCCTCCACACCGCTGACCTCCATAGTCACCTTCCACTGCCTCTCTGTATCTGGTATACGTTCCAAAGCTCTCTCCCCTTCCACAGCCTGCAGCCTTAGCATCACTGAATTAAAAATTGACTTCACCCCTCTGTCAATCACCGCCTTTGCATTCTTCAGGAGTTGAAAGTTACATCCCATCGGAAACGAAGACTCCCCACGTAACTTCTGAAACATCCGCATTGCAGCCTGGATCTCCTTAGCCACCTCCTCCAACCTCAACTTAGCAGGCTGCTTAGGGTTTGACAAACTACCCTCAGTGAAGTCCGTTATCGGCGTTTTCGAGCCTCCTGCTCTCCGGTTGTTTGGGTGGTCCAGAGCCGTAACACGCACGTACTCCTGCTCCTGCTCCTGCTCCTGCTCCAACCTTGCTTTCTGTGCAAGAGTATCTGGAAATGGCACAAAATTCTCAAATCACTTCTTTTTGAACAAAGAATCCATAATTTTGGAAACACTTATCCGGGACGATGAATACGACCTCCTCTTCAAATCTGAGGAACGCTGAGCCTCTTCCATCAATCTGGACTCTCTTGGATCCATCCACTCCTCAGTAATACCCCGAATCATTTTAAAGCGTTTGATTGGGGATAAAGTTTTCTTGAGCAAATCATTGTACAGGTCCATTCAAACTATGGGCCGGGTTTCGCAATGACCCATTTACAATCTGATGACCGTCCTTGCGTTGTGTTCAACTCTGAAGGCAATTTTTTTTTTTTTTTAATATATGATCATGTTGAAGGCATCTTGGAATCTTACCCTTCCCACAAAAGAAAAGAATGGAATCACAGATCCTTGCATTCTGATTTAAGCTTAGTTTGAAAATATTTTTTGGTATTTTAATTTTTAATTTTTATATTTTTATTATTTTAAAAATATATAAAATATTAATTAGAATAATAAATATAAAAAATATATTTTATATATTTTTAAAATTTTTAAAAAAACCAAAAAATTAATAACTACAGTTACATGCTAGTATTGTCGAACTAAGCATTAATTAT